CCGCCAGAAAACTGAATGGTTCTTAAACCTTAATTAGAAGTTATTACGTGAAAATACATCCAGTTAGCCTTGTGAAGCTGTAAAATTAAGTAAATATTGAGATTCTGCTAGTTTCTGAGTTACTAACTGATAGAGAGGTATACTTCATATTCAATGACCTCAATATCCATGCTGAATGGCAAAAATATGTGAATATTGTTTTAACCTGCATTCAAAAGCCGAGGAAAGAAAAGGATATTGAAATTATCCTACACAATTTGTTATTTTTACTATGTCCAAAATAACATTTGTTAATAATTACAGCATGGAAACGAAATTATTGACTTTGTCACTATAATCGAACGAAATCAAATAAAAAATTCAGCGGCGTTGAAATCAACTGTAATTTAACAATTTTCCTTGAAAGTCCAGTATTTTAGTGACCACTGTGTTTATCTGTACTTCTGTCATTCGCTTCGATGATTTGATATCCAACATTACAGATGTGTAACCCATAACTCTGAGGATAATATTGAAGACAGGAAGGCAGTTCAAAGTTCCTTAGATAGATTATTAAAATTATTGCTCCCCTGGATTCCTCGTGGAATATAGGGATTCAACTGCAAGTATCCACCTGCCTCTGTCTTCCTTCTCCTGTACTTTTCACCTGCATCCATGTTAGTCCAAACCCTTTTTACAAACTCCTCTTCACACGATCTCCTCCATGTCACCCTTACACTGATGTCCCACTAGCCGTGTGCTTCCCTTTCAGCCTGGTTCCACTCGAGCAATGGCCTGACGCGCGCGCGATGTCACCCAGCGCTGTGCCTCCTCAGCGAGCGAGTGTCCAATCCATCCATCTCCACTTTCTCCTGCATATTTGTTGGCTGGCGATTGGTTCTTGTTTTGTTTGTTCGTTCCCATAGTTTCTTGTTGGTGATTGTTTCCGGCCCGGCCCGGCCTGGCCATCTGATCTTTAGTATAGATCCAGCAAAGACAGTTGTTGTTGATAAAGGTTTGGTCTGCAACAGGCTGTTGGAAATATTCTTTGTGACCCGGCCGCCAAGTTTCTGATCCATATAGAAGAACTGATTGACTTGAAGTTGTTTGTATTAAAAATTCGACGGAATTTTGTTGTTGATGCTGGCTGAGTGATGAAGATTGGTTTTCCAGATGGGTTTCAGGTTGATGAATGTGTTTCTCGCTCGATTTGACATCCTCGTCCGTTCCGACGTCCTGTAGTTGAGACAATGCTCAATGCTAGATAAGTGAGTGAATGAAGTAACCTCTTTCAAATCCCTCCCACTGATGGTGATTGGCGCTGGATGTTGCTGCTGTTGGTGTTGTTGTTGGCTGTTTGGTTATTTTCATAACCTCCCTCTTGTCTATGTTCACATGGAGTCCTGTCTTCACCGGCTGCTTCTTCTACCAGTTTGTCGGTTTTCACTTGTAAGTCTCCGATTTTGTGCGACATCAAACATAAATCATCCACGCTCGAAATCCAGGTCTTCTAGGTTCTTCACGTTAGTGCAGGATATCCCTCCCTGTCTTCTCGTTTCCCTTTGTCTGACGCATAATCCAGTCAGTCCACCGCAATTAGGAATATCATTGGTAATAAAAAGCCAGCACCCTTGTCTGACTCCTGTGTTTATTCCAAACGCCTCACTGAGTTTTCCGTTGTGGATCACTTGACATGTTCCGTTGTCGTACAGCTGTTGAATAAGGTTGATGAATATTTGGGGTACGCCGTAGTACTCGAGTAGTTTCCAAATTACTTCGTGCCCAACGCTGCACTGTCGAAGGCCTTTTCAAAGTCTATAAAGTTGAGGTAGAGGTTTGATTGCCATTCCATGCTTAGATAGATAATATTTCAAAATGTGTCCAAATGACTGCGAAGCAATATGCATCTGATATCGACGCGTTATTATTTATTTTTGGGTAGATTTATACAAATTGTCAGGTGATAAAACTTATGCGATTATTTCTTATGAGCAGAGCAAGAAAGATATGTACAGATGACCTCTTACAAAAAGGAATTTGAATATGTTCACGATTCCTTGATGGAGACGGGCTATACCAGTAGTTTCATAAAGAAACATTTGAAAACATCAGAGAGAAAACCTGAGACTCTGACTGCACGTAAAAAGACTCTGCTTATTAAGTTACAATTTAATGGTGACTTAACAAGTGAAATTTAGTTCCAGAGACTTTCCAGGAGTATACAGAGAACGTTTTACGCGGCACACCTGTGTTTGTCATTCTCTAGCCGACAAATGATTGGGAAGCAAGCGAAGGATAAGCTAGATAATTTTGCCATATCTATGTGCATTTATCAATTCAACTTCACCTGCGGTGACAGTTATGTTGGACGTACTACTAGACAGCTTAGCCAACGTGTTAGTGAACATATCTCATCGTGGTTTGGCAAAGGACAGACAAAAGCAATCTGTAGCTCAATTTTGTCACATTTAATTGATAGTGGTCATGTAGTCGAGAAAACGAGAGCTTTCAAAGTAATTCATCGTATCCCACTGAATCTTTCCAATAGAATTCGTATTCGTCTTCTGCACACAGCTGAGGCGATAGGCGTTCGGACTATTAAACCTAAACTGTGCATTCAAAAGAAGTTTGTACAGCCATTATCCCCCCGTCAATGGCCTATTAAGACATAACCAACTAATGACTTCTACACCACCCCTGGTTTATATTTTTAACCCCTTTCTTATCATCCCTTAATCTTATTTTCATTATAAACGTGATTCATTTCCTTCCCTTACACTCTAGCATTACTTAATCGGTTCATTTGTTTTTACTAGCTTTTATCGACTACTTCCAACTGAACATTTATTTGTTTAATCATGCTGTTTTTTATTATTCGTGTTATCACAGATTGCCTCACTTTTTCATCCTTATTATTGATAAGACCATTGTTATTATTACTATTATTATTATCACTACTAATATTACGACTAACTGCACAATTAATTCTAAGGTTTGAAACTTGGCGCATCATGAAAAGCATTTCCAACAGACGGCTTCCAGCTTCCATCAATAGCTGCCTCCTTCTCGGCTTTTTACTGAAGATCAGATGGTTGGCTGTTCAGAGAGAAGCAGCAGTGAACAACTGTAGGAATGGACTAATGAAGAACCTTTTGCTCAACAGATATTTCGAAGCAAATGGATGTGTGTCGGACACACATTAAAGAGGACTTTTGATAACGTCATGCACTAGGTCTTCGAGTCGAACTAGAGTGAGAAAAGAAGAGTCTGGTGTAGGTGTAGCAGTAACGCGGAGGCAATTGCATGAGGAGGAGATGGATTTTCTTATAGGCGATCATAGAGTCAGCTGAAGATGACTGGAGAGAACACAAAAATATGAAGATGTTCTGTTGAATCACTATGTTCTATTCAGTATAACAGCAATAAAATGTATGTTGAAAAAGCATGACTCCTCTTTCTTCTCCACCTAACTAATCATTCATTAAGAAATTAAAACTCATTAAGGAATTATTTACTTGAACACAGTGATATACATATCTGCCAAGATGAAAGTAACCGTACACTTTTTTGTAGTTTAATTACCTTTAAAATGAAGACAAGACAAGTAGTTCAGGAGAGAGTGTCTTTTCCGCGAATTCATTTCTATCTTTCGCATTTATACACAAATGTTTCTCGTAAAAAAATTGCAGCAACTAAACTGAACACCTTGTAGACACTAGCCATTCTATCTCCTTCAAGATAACTTACAAAGTGAAAAGGAGCCTGTTGAAGATGGTCCGCTTTCCCCCCCCCCCCGCCCACCACCACCGTTTGAACTGCTTAAACTCTAGTTATCCAGATGGAGAAACTGAAGCTGTGCTTCTGTCATTATCATGGTTAGGACCCTATTACTCCTAATCTAACCCTATAACTCACTTTTCGGATCTTTTATAACTCATCTATCCTCTCAAACTATAACGTGACATTTAAAAAAATCGTCTGTTTCTAAGCTGACGTTGATTATTATTATTGTTTCCCTGGATTCCTCGTGGAATAAACGGATTCAACTGCACGTATCCACCTGATTCTGTCTTCCTTCTGCTGTATTTTTCACCTGCATCCATGTTAGTCCAAACCCTTTTTACAAACTCCTCTTCACACGATCTCCTCCATGTCACCCTTGCACTGATTTCCCACTAGCCGTGTGCTTCCCCTTCAGCCTGGTTCCACTCGAGCAATGGCCTGACGCGCGCGCGATGTCACCCAGTGGCGGCCTCCTCAGCGAGCGAGTGTCCAATCCATCCATCTCCACTTTCTCCTGCATATTAGTTGGCTGGCGATTGGTTCTTGTTTTGTTTGTTCGTTCCCATAGTTTCTTGTTGGTGATTGTTTCCGGCCCGGCCTGGCCATCTGATCTTTAGTATATATCCAGCAAAGACAGTTGTTGTTGATAAAGGTCTGGTCTTCAACAGGCTGTTGGAAATATTCTTTGTGACCCGGCCGCCAAGTTTCTGATCCGTATAGAAGAACTGACTGACTTGACGTTGTTTGTATTGAAAATCCGACGGAATTTTGTTGTTGATGCTGGCTGAGTGATGAAGATTGGTTTTCCAGATTGGTTTAAGGTTGATGAATGTGTTTCTCGCTCGCCTTCCCGATTCTCGCTCGATTTGACATCCTCGTCCGTTCCGACTTCCTGTAGTTGGGACAATGGTCTCTTGACCTTTATTAGAACCCAATGATTATTATTTCTTTTATCTCTTTATAAGATTCTACCACGCTTATTTAACTTCTTATATGTATTGATCAATATTTAGAAGTGTACTCATGACGATTCATCCCATTCTTTGTATTCACTTTTATACTAAATGCTACTGTACAGCAAAAGATGAAAATAAAGTGAAAGAAAATAAACTCTTATATATACTACTTCATTTTTCATCTAATACCTGTGTGGGAATTATTCATGAAATCATCTTTTTATCACTTTTACGATATTTTTTATTTAGTATTTTAATTTTTTAAATGTATCTCTTCTTTAGATCATCGTCCATTGAATTACTTAGAAGTATTTAACGCTTCATCGGCTTCAAATACAACAATTTATGTCGGTGGTATCACGAATGAATTGACTGGTAAGTAGATGAAATTGGGTAGTTTGTTCTCACGTTTGAAAAATGGAATGATTTCAGCTAGAGATCCACTGAACTGGAAATCTTTTTCGTCCTGGTCCGAGACTCCTTATCAGTGCCCAACCATAGCCAACCGCCGATTCCAGGACTTTCTCGTTACATCCCAAGCTCATAGACCATTCAGACACTGGGACCTGACTCACTGGCCCATGAATTCCAACTTCCAGTTTTGGTTTGCAGGGATTTGATTGGACTGGTTACTGGATCTAATCATGGGCTGATGTCGGTGAGATAACCATAAGGATAAATGAGAATACTAGACAGCTGTTCCATGATAGTTTGAGACTTATGGGCGGTACGCACCCACTGAAGCTCGAACCCAGGACTTTCCGGTTACAAGGCGAAATCATAGACCATTCGGTTACTTGGACCCGATTCAGTGGCCCATGAAATTCCACTGCTGCCAATTCAATAAGTAGCGCGACCATTAGCAGTAGCCCAGTTCTGCCAATTCATGATTTTATCGCCTCTACCGACAAATGCCTTCTGGGAGTATTTATCCTCACTCGCCAGCAGTTATAAGGTATCTCGAGAATTTCAGGCAATTTCATCTTGTAGCCAGTGACTGATGATCATCAGATTAATTTTAAAGAATTACTTTCTAAGGATCTGATTTGTTTCTAGTTTGATCACAGATTGATATCAGTTACAGAAACACTGTTGTTTCTGATTGGTTCGTTGATTTAATAAAACACTTCACATTCACAATCAGAAGGTTTTATAAAAGATAGTTATATGAGTTTATTTTTATGCTCAATACAAACTAAAGTGATGAAAGCAAAAGCTTACAATTAAGAGGAACAGGAAGTTATGCGTTCAGTTTAAGTGGATTTAATGCCATAGATAGAAATAAGAGAAGACGTAGAGAGGCACTAGTGTGTGTAAAGTAGTTTAAATGCAAAATAAGTTTTCACTAGGATTTAATAAGATTTTAAAATAGATAAAGTGCATTAGTAATAATAATAATTTGCTTTATTCCAAAACAGTACTTGTGACACAGAATGGAATTCTCAGCATTTCACTAAAGTATTGCATCCAATTTGTACATTATCAATCAATAAAATTCTACATAGATTAAGGTTACTCTCAGTTAGTTTTGACATCAACATATTGGCATGTTGGTAGCAAAGCCAAAATTGAACAGAATGTTTGAAGGTGTTAGAAAAGTAGATGCTAGCATATTTACTGGCGTAAGTGGTAACAAAAGGGTCAAGATATACAGAGTGTGAAAGAACGAAGAAGAATGCTTTAAGTAGAGTTTGTAAGGAAGAGAGAAACGAAGCAGCACATAACAGGGAAAAAAAGAGATAGAGAAAAGGAAAAGAAAGAAAGAAAACGTTGTGCCTGTAAATTATATGAGTTGAAAAGACGAGATCCAGCTGTTCTACTGACTGTTATAGGTATCACGCCTATTGCTTTCTTTATCGCACAAAACACGAGCTAAGTAGGGTATGTGCGGGCATACAGTTTTCTCTATTGGCTTCGGGTTTTCCCTGATGAGATTCAAGGGGAGAGTTGTGAATGAAGAGGGTGGTGTGAGTTAGATGAGATGGATTTAGTCCATTTTTCACATGATTCCAAGTGCTTGTCGACCAGAATATTAACAAGCTGGTTAAGTGGCACATCGCTTACCCTACTGACAACCTTTAACATCTTGCGTAATAAGGCAATGTCTTTCTTCAGTAGCCCAGGAAAAACTGAGGTGAAACAATAGAGAATAATAGGCAGGATTCAAGAGTTAACGAATCGTAGGAGTGAGGGTTGAGTTATTCCAGAAGATCTTAACTTCTTGTAGTAGAAGGTAAGACGGTATATTTTCTTGGAAATCGTTAAGATATGAGACGACCAGGAAAGATCAGCAGATAGAATGATGCCTAAGTATTTAATTTCTGACTTGGTCTCAATTTCAGTGCCATCTATGTTGCACACCTCGTGAGTTCTAACCAGTTTGTTTAGGTAATACTTTATGTAATGACTATTCTGGCAAATAATAACGATTAACTGTATCCCAAAAGCAGTACTTATATGATACACAGTACAGTGTTCATAGCATTTCGTACAATATTGCCACCGATTTACTCAACAAGGAAAAAACACTACATGGAGTAGGGTTAAGGTTAGGGTTATTTTGCTAATCACCCAGTAATTCATACGTTTCACACTTAACACTCTAACTTCTATGTAGAACACGGACGAAATAGGGTATCATTGAGTTTGTGTACTCAGTTGTGCGAACACATAATCTCTAATAATGACTTCGTGTCTTGCCTGTTTAGATAGAAGAGAAGATTTGTGAATGAAGAGGGCTCTGACAGCCAGACAATGTGGCTTTCATTCACCCCCTGCACGAGTTCAGATGTATGTAGACTACAATAGTAAATACTTGCCACACTAACAACATTTAATACCCTTCGAAATATGACACTGTCGTTTTTGAGTAGTCCAGTAAACACTGAGGAGAGAGGAGTAATAAAGAACGATTCATAAAATGCATGAGCTAACAAACTGTGAAAGTAAAGGTTGACTAAAACCTGATTGTCTTAACTTTTTAATGTAGAAGGTTAGTCGAGACATCTTCTTAGAAGTTGACACGATATGGGACGACCAAGAAAGATCAGAGGAAAGAACTTTTCCAAGGTATTTAATGTTTGACTTAGTCTCTGTTTTGTTGCCTTCTACGCTACAAGCATCATACGTACGAACCAGTTCGTGATTACCTAAGTCAGTCTGGGCATCCTTTCGATTGCATTCAACCATCTAATAGCAGTCAGTTATAATTTCACTGATAGATAGTAGGGTAAACTGGTAAAATGTAATCTTGCACGTTCACTTTGTATATTAACAGATAGAGAATCTACTATTTTCAAATTCTTCAAAACATATCTTAGAGGATTAAGTGTGGTAAATCCAATTCTTAAGATGTTGTAAATTACAAGCCACAATGAAATGTCAGAGTATTTATTGAGAAGAAGAAAATACTATTGAGATAAATATTATTTGGATAAATACATCCTAATGAATAGTTCATTCCCAGAAGATATTTTATTTTCTTTTTGTATGCTTGAGTTATCTTCAGGTATTTTTGAATAAATTATGTGAATAGGCTTTCAGTTAAACTGAGAAAAGTAAAAACATATACATATACTAATGTCAGCTCATGATGAAATCCTGAAACCAATCAAATCAAATATATTTATGTATACATATTCTTTTAACTTGTCAAGTTGACATTATGTTTCCAATGAAGTACTTTTAGCATACTTCCTCAAATATCTCAAAGAGCTATTTATTTCTTTTATATTTTATTTCTTTACTTTCCTACTGGGGTCGCTAGCCCCATACCCAACCTCCCCACACTACCAGTCTTATTAACGGCTTGGCAAGGTTTAGGAGAACGTTGGCTAGGGTTTGAACCCAGGACCATATGCGTGGTTGGAGAGCATTCTATGGCTGAACCACTGACTCGCACAAGTGATAGGCATATATATATATATATATATATATATATATATATATATTCATATCTTCAAATGCTTTGTATACCTTAAAGCGTATTTCAAAAGATTCGAGGCAGCCCAGTGTAATACATGAGAATCTATCTATGAGGATCTTCAGCTGCATTAAATGTAACAACAAGAACCGATGTATTGGGATCTGAAAGCAGGAAACTGATTTTCGCGTCCTATTGTATTGCTGACTAATGCTCATAGTTACAAAATGCCTTGACGAAAGCAAAAATGACGGTTATTTGACGTAAAATTTGAGGTGCTTAACAATGTCTTTAGGGAGGTACATAGATTTAATAGGTTCTTCAGTACGAGACATGCAGTATTCAACTGAACTATTCAACGAAAATCAGTCGTGTGAATTACCTGAAAATCAAACATAATACCCCTAGCAACGTGGGATCGAAAATCTGTCAGCAAGAATTAGCCATCGGACAATTCTCCTCAGACGGTCCAAGGTCAGAATTACCTTCACTCACTGAAACAAAATTGTAGTCGTAGGAGAACACATTATCAATGTCATCATCCCATAACCACAAAGGGAAGCATTAAAATTAGAGAACAAACAGGAGCGAAGACCAATAATAAGGATTACGTTAACTGGTGATGTACATTCTCACAGAAAGTAATAATGATTACAAATTTAGTATACAATTGGTGGATGGTGGCTAGCAGTGGAATCCAGGATGCGCATTTCGTCCTAATTGTGACTCGTCAGCTGGATGTATCTGCATTTCTCAGTGAGTGATGATGTTCCCACTGAGGCTCAAACCCAGTACCCATAGTTTCAAACGCCAAAGCGTTATCCACTAGACCACTTGGGCCACGAGAGCCACCTCTTGTTAATCGGGTCATAATAATTATTGAATTGAATCCAATCAATCGACGGGGAAATCAAAAATTCAATTCAATGATTACAAAGTTAGTTGAAAAACCCGAATAAGAATGAAAATTATTATTAGGTCGTCCAGGAAGAATTTACCAAACAACTTCTCTGTGATATTAACAACGTCACAATGAATAATATTGTTGTCAAAAGTATCCGTTTTTAGGGTTAGTTTGTAGAGATTTGATTTGTGAGTGACTACTTGACTCAGCTGCCTGGAATTTATAATTTGAAGTCATAATCGGTGGGGTTCACCAAGTCAGATGTCAGGACAAATACTCATCGATGACTCCAGTATAAATAAGATTTTATTTTGACAAATCACACAGTGTTATACAGTAATATTAACCGATGACGTTTCGAGCACAAACTATTGTTCATAATCACATTAAGTTATTCACACATCCTTTTACTTCATTTATATACATGAGTGAAACTGATGGTTAGACATTTGAATGAAAATCAATATGGGATAGTGTACATTGAGAAATAAGAATATTAATGTTATCAGTCAAATACAATCAGATGGGAAATAAGACGAGTGTTTTTAAAGTCAAAATAAATAACTTGTTAGAATGTTGTAATATATGTGAATTGAAATAGAATTTTAAGGTTATTTATTATCATCCTCTGATTTGACTGACTAGTGGTAATAATATTTTCCATATTTCTGGTATTTGCCTTGAGCCAATTCTGTCGCATGTGCTGAGTGTAGACTTGATGAACCAGGCAGAATTCAGTAATCAATCTCTCTCTCCACCTACCCATATTACTCTTTAGAATTTTGACACTGTCCCACTCTACTGTGTGATTGTGCATTAGTGCATGCAGTGCGATTGCTGAGTTTTTCTCTAAATTACTTATCTTCGTGGGGGTGGTATAGCGATTAGGACGCTCGCCGACCATGCACATGGTCCGGGGTTCAATCCCTGGCCACAGGACGCACTCCTTTACCTCGCTAAGCCAGAAATAAAGCAGGTAAAGAGGAAAGGATGGGCATGAGGCTAGCAACCCCATCCTGTAAAAAAACAAACACTGCTACATAAACTTCAAGCCACCAGCTTAAAGCCCTATGTTCCACTGGGGAACGTGAAGGAAGAAGTGTGTGTGTATGTGCGTGGGGGGGGGAATAATCATTCTAACCTTAGCTAAATTCTTATGTTCTGATAATCTCACTGCTACTTGTCTACTAGTCTGACTTATGTAGTTAAGCTCACAGTCATTGCAAGGTATTTTGTAAATCATATTATTTTGTTTAATAGGGTCCTCTGGGTCCTGATATGATTATGGGTAACAACAGTTTATGCTCGAAAACGTGGTCATCAGTTAATATTACTCTGTAATGGAGTTATACAGTATCACAGCGCCCAAGGTTTATACTTTTATCAATATTACTCACCGGCGATGTTGACTAACAGTTGGATTGCGCATATCGCGAATTGGCGAAAGTTAGAACTCATTTACCCGCCATTAAATTCTCTCCAAGTAAGTGAACAATCAACCAACTGTCCTCTAAACCTTATGATCCTACGTCCACTCCTTGATCGGGTCATGGGTATGCCTCAGTTTTAGTCATTTAGTCAACAATGTTGTATAGCGTAACAACCATCTCTAAAGGTTCGCAAAAACAGTGACGCGATCATTTTGTGTTATAACCGAAACAAGTATTCTTTATTCTTCCAAAGTAGAAGTCAAGAGTGACTTGTTCATTAGAAAATATAATTTGTCGGAAAAAAAGGAACGCAGATGAAAGAATTGTTGTGCCACATTTTTTCTCTATTTATTTCTTTTTCTTTATCGTTACCTCTTTATTCCAGAAAAACTTCTTCAAGATTCATTTAAACAATTTGGTGAAATCAAAGAAATTAGGATATTTAAGGACAAAGGATTTTCATTCATTAAGTAAGTTGAATAAGATTGTTAATTTGGAAAATAAGTTTGTTATACACCGAAATGGCCGCTTATTCATTATTGTTTTGATATATGTGTGTATATGTATATACTACTAAATATATGTCCGAGTATATACTGTTGAGTGGTACTCATTCAATGTAACAAATTGAATTCATACACTAAGGTCAAACACTAAACATTTTCTTTCAACATTTAGCTTGATGGTATCCTTTATGAAATTTTGAATAGTGGATTACTTCAGATGTTTATATATTTTAAAGTGTATTTATCCCCCAAAAGACAAGAGTAACAACTCTCATCATTAAATTTCTTCTTCTCTTCTTCTACCCCTCCCTCCTCTTTCTTTGAACACTTGAATCAATCGACACTTTAAAATTCTATGAATGATAAAAAATGAGTTCATTACCATTCATCTGATAAAAAAAATACTTCAACCAGCAGATTTTATTTGCTTATTTGTTAAGTGGAAAATATGCAGCACATCCTATTGTATTTTAGTAGAAATAGTTATAAACAAGTTTAGAAATTGTTAAAATTCAAAAACTCTCAACACTCAGCTATTTTGTTATTTTTGCCTCAATGTCATTGCATTTAATTAGCAAACATTTGCGCTGAAGTTGGAATGACTCAAAGACTTGGAATGTTAGCAGAAGCACTGTCAACAGGCGGTTGCAGAATTCAGCTCTGTTATGCAACCGAAACATTTAGGCGTCTAAGTACTTCTTTATTATATTGAATGCCTTCTTTCTCATTTAGCAGCGAAATAGTGTATCGAATGAAGTTTGAAACTTGGGGTAGTCAATGTTCATAGACTTTCCATTTCACATCATCAGATCATTTATTAGTAAACAAAATAGTTTCTTTTTCATTTACCCTATAAGGGAGGATGGGCGAAAATACAGGAATACGTTGGACCAGCAAGAAGATTCTAGAAGATATGAACTTCGTGGACGATTTATGTCTCATGTCACGTAAATTCGAAGACTTAGGCAAAAAACAACTAGCTGGCTGAACAGGCTGTCAGCGAAGATAAGATGCTGAGTGAACATAGAAGCGCCAATCATTACCAGTGGAATCAATTTGAAAGGCGTTACTTCTTTCAATCATCTAGGCAGTGTCTTTTCAACTGCAGTTGCCAGACAGAATTGGATAGGTGAGCTACACCTCCATCACCCTCAAATCAATTTGAGAATCTGCTCCACTCACTCAAAATAAACAACAAACTTCGGATTTTGAACGTCAGTGCTGATTCTGTCATTTCTTCTCTATGGCTCAGAAAATCATCGCTCGCATCCCAAAAAGTGTTTACAGCAGGCTACTGAACACTTTTATCAACATATGCTACTTGACTGGCTCCATTACTGAGGACCAGGTGGCTGGCCGATCTGAATGAATTAGCAACAAGAAACTCAAGTACGTGGCGAACCGATGAAGGAGTTATAACTGTAGTTACCAGTTAGTGGCATAACACTCAATGCAGATCCTTGCTTGAGTGGAAAGCAAACGGGAAACGACAGGTTGTGAATACCATCAAGGGTGGCAGATAAAGATCTTGTGATGAGGAGACGAAGCCTGATAGGGAATCATGGCAGCAGCTTCAGTGGAGAACTACCGAGAACAGGATGAAATGGAAGTGTTTGACTGAAATCGTGTGTACCATTCGGAACCCAACGGAACAATTAATTACAAATATTCATTTATATATTTCATGGCTATATGGTATTTAAATCTTAGTGGCTAAAGTAAATTCAATACCGAATGAGCGACCAAAGTTTTCATGTTGGTTGGTAGGGAGGCATATTTATCCACCTAGGAATGTTGATACAATATATTCAGCATCTATGGCTTAGTCTGCACTAGAATTTTCCTCCTCTTGACACTACATGTGTATGCGATATCTCATATAAATGATTTCGTTTTCAGTAATATGACACATCTGCTGCAGTTTTTTTTTTAAATTAAGTGATTCCTAAGCATATTTAAAAAACTTCTATTTAGAATAAATTTTTTGTGAAAAAAAAGTCTTGATAAATCAGTTGTAAGTTTTTGGTGTCAGAGTATGTAACATTTTCTGACAAACAGCGAAAAGTGGACGCTAATGTTCGTTTACCGTAACACATGTGCGTGAAGTTAACGATCAACCTTCATGAATAAGTAAATCGATAAAGTCAACGTTTACTGTGTTTTCTCCAGATACTGTGTGGAATAAATGCAAGCATAACATCAACACCAAATTAGAAAATATATATTGAGTGAGAATGCAAATTTTAACTGCTATTATACTCGTTAGTATCGTTACTAACAGGTTCCAGACTTTTATCATCAGCTGCCTACTTCTCTGGCTTCCTACTGAAGATCAGTTGACCAGAAAGGATTAGAAGTAAGTAACTGCAACTACGAACCAACCGAGAACCTGACAACTAAGTAGACGGATCAAACGTAGACTGGAGAGACCGCTAAATAACATAAGTAGGCAGGCCGGCACCCGAATGGAGGCCGAATGAAAAACAACGAGTTGAGTCTTGCTCTGAAGGTGACATGTAGGAGATGGTATGAGGAGGGAACGAAAGATTATGAGTAATCTTGGAAGCAAATAACGACGACTGAAGAGAATAGACTAAAATAGAGATGTTCTGCTAACATTTAATGTTCCACTCACAACCCAAAGGAACACTCATAATAATGATTAGTGTACTTAGAAATTCAATATCAATTTTATGATCTCAATCGAATAAGAAGTTCAAATTATTCTGGTATTCTCTTTCTCTAGTTTTGTCTTAGTTTAAATAGAGTAATAAATTATCTAATCCTCGTATGCATTACCAAATTACTCTAGAAATTGAAGCCTATACAGTTTCTTTCCAAATATTTCCCTCAAATATCACATTTAAATGTTTTATCAGCATGAATTTCATCAATGCTCATTTACTGATGGATGCGTTGAAGTTTCTGTCTTCGCTCTATACTGAAGATCAGATGACTGGGTCGGAAAGAATCACCGAAAAGAAACTATGAGAACAAACAAACAAAACAAGAACCAATCGTCCAACATATATGCAGGAGAAATTAGAGATGGATGGATTGGACACTTACTGAGGAGGCATAGCGCTGAGTGACATCGAGAGCGTGTCAGACCATTGTTCGGGTGGAACCAGGCCGAAAGGGAAGCATGCGGCGGGTGGGACGTCAGTGCAAGGGTGACATGAAGGAGTTGGTTGAAACAGTATGGACTAACATGAATGGATGCAGGTGAAAAGTACAGCAGAAGGAAGACAGAAGTGGCAAGTGGAGACGTGCAGTTGAAGCCCTATGTTCCACTAGAAACCCAAGGGAACAATAATATATACTGTTGGATGCAATCATAAGAAAATCTCACTAATGCGTTCATCAAAGGAATGTACCAGTCATAAAAGCGTATTATTTCCTAGTAACCAACAGCTTTTAATGTTGCCTCACTTTTCAACAGTTTTTTAAACCCCACTGTCTTACTGTCATGAGATAAAAGTTAAAATTCGTTACATTAGTCAAAGGAGACAAATGCATGACCAAAATATCTCAAACTGTCATTTATACTCTTCATGCAGATGCATGTGAAGCAGAAAATATTAATTTTCCATAGTAAATGCCTTCTACGTTTATGAAAGTAACGAGATTCGTTACGGTAAATACTCTTCAAAAAGCGGGAAGTATTAAAACATAAAATTTGTTACAATTCTTAAATTGTAAAAGAAAAAAAAAACCGTGTTATTGTGATACCCATAGTAAATTTATTTGACAGGGATGATACTTTCCTTTGACAAAAACGTATATTTAGACTGTCAAATAAATATTACAGCTTTGAATGCTGTCTACAGAACACTTTTCTGATTAATGATAAGCAGTACGTATACCTGAAGCTGTATCTAACTAATTAACTAAGATAAGTAATTGTACACCACTCATATCAACAAGTAATACTTGCTAACAAACTAGATCGAGGTCGAGGCCAAGCTCATCATCGTCGGAGTACCCAGTTGTGACTCAGCTCAGAGAGGTGGCCGAATCAGCTCAAACTGCTCGATTCTCCTTTTGCTACTGAGGCGAACTAGTGGTGTAATAAGCCAAATTCATAATTCCGCGAATAAAATTCCCTGAAACATTAAATGTTCCAAAAAGGAAATCGTATACGAACCAGGATTTCAAGAGAGATTTGACCTGAGAACTCCTTGAGAGAAGAATTTCATCTTCAGTAATGCTAAAAGTAGTTTTCCACAGTCGTCCACATGTCTTCAGAAGCCTTAAGCATATGATCTCAAATCTGACCACTTCTGTGTGCACATATCAGTATACTCGTTGCTGTGAGGGCATGTACATTAGGCGTTCAGCGTGTATCCTATCTAAGAGTGTTCAAGAAGGCCATCCCTCATTTCTCTAGAAAGGAAGTAGTGGTTCTATAAAGAGTGCGAACACCTTGTCAACACTAATCACTTCACTCTAAGAAATGTCTCCTTCAAAGTTATCTACAAAGTGGTTACTAACCAGCCAAAGGCAATGCTGTTTCGTCTCCTTTACATTGCTGAAGTCTTAACTATTTAGATGAAAAAACCAGGGTTATTCAAACAAAAGTAAATTATTCATCCACTTCTACTATCATGGTAACAACCTTGTACATTTTATACTGACTCGCAATTTCATACGTTTATTGAACAAAATAAAAACAGTCGTTTGTGTAGAGTAACATGGTATCATCACTTATACCATTGGCTTCTCATCAGCTGCTTACAGCCTGAATAAATAATTGAGTTTATGTACAGAAAAAGTTTAACATACTTGCAAATTTTACATGATGTCAGGTGACAGGGACAAAATCATTGTGTGCATACAATGGTCAAGGAGTAACATAATAAGGACGAGATTTGCGTAAGATGATAAGTAACTTTGTTGAAACTTGAACTGTCTATCTAAAATCTTTCTGTACATAAACTCAATAGTTTATTTAGACTGTAAGCAGCAGCTGATGAGAAGCCTACGAAACGGATGATGGTATCATCTTATTCTGCACAGGCTTGAATTTTGTTTACTTTATTTCCCCAACTCCTTATAACTCTTTTATTTCTTTATAGCTCCTACATAGTTCCATATTTTCTCCCATTTCCATGCATATCTTAATCACAAGTTACTCATTAGATTACTCACCTTATTACATAATTTTAACACACTTAGTCAACTTCTTTTATGCATTGACTGATGTAAACAGTTACACCTGTGACAACTCATCACTTTTGTTACTACCCTATTTCATGGGTAAAAAATTGTATGTGAATTCGAGTGAACAGCAGAGTAAATGAATTCCCTGAAAAAGTTCTCTTTTCTGAACTAGTGTTTTGTTTTTATTAATGTCTGGATGGGAATTATTCATGAAATTCACGATATGCAAATCAGTTAGCAGTCGGGTGGTTTGGACCGATTTAGCTCTCTGAGTTGAGTCCTTGTTGATGAACTCTGTCCCAAACAAGCTAAACGGCTACCCTGTGGTGTTTTCGATCACCTCGATCTGATTGCCTGGCTGGCTAGCAAACACTACTGTGTGAAATGACTGGTATATTACTACTCATGTGAATCGATCAGTAGTATACAGTTTTAGGTGAAAATGTTAGCCTTCTTGATTATCATTTATGGCATCAAGCAGATCATATTCTGTGGTGATTTGAATAGCCTGGTTTCCAAAAGAAACTGTGGAAATTGCTGTCCCCATCCTTAAGCCTTCCATGATTACTTAGATCACATGTAGACATATTGATTAAAGCCATATGGTTGGGTGAATTAGATCTATAATAGTAATAATGATAATAATATTAATACTGATAATTTTCATTACAGCATAAAAACTTGTTTGTTCTCTTTTCCTATTTCTTTCTTTTTACGTAATCTAAACATACTAAGAAGATTATCAGACTAATTTCTTATTGCAACAAGGCTAAAAGAAAGATGGAAAATTAGTATGTCTACCATGTTATAAATACGCAAAATAACAAACCATCATTCGGAGGATAATACATGTATATTCTATCTGGAATTATGTTTCAGTGTAAGATACAAGTTATGCCCAAAATAATTAGAAATGTTTCCTCTATTTGGAAATTAATACCACAAGATATAACAGTGGATTATACTAGAATTTGGGTTCGTTTGTCGTGAAAGTATACTATAATTTGAATAAAGCTGGAGAGTTACTGATTTGTGGTTGTCATCCAACTCGACTAGAACTCGCCTCCAGATATGTCACTATAGCCAACTGACCACTTGAAAAATATAAACCACACTGCGGAAGATATAGAAGTCATATATAAATGCTGTAGTAGTGACAACTTTTACTTTTCGAAATACACGGCATATACAGTTTGCGAATCCCCAGAAATTTGAGTCCAAAATAAATGACCAATATCTGATTGACTGTATGACCTTGAAAGTTTCATTTGACCATTTCAGCACATGCATCAGTCACGACTTCAGGGCCTAAAAGAGATAGATTTTCCAACCTCACAGTCTGAAAACAAGGCGGTCAGAAGTACAGATACAAATCTCAGTTAATCTTACAACCAATGAACCATCTGCTGTTTTCCTTCTACTCCAGAGAAACTTTAGCTGGGTAGCTAGCGTGATCTTAAGCTGACAATGACAAACATAAACAAAAACGTCCACAGAGTGCAAACGCATCAATGACCTGAAACACGTACCATTCATTGAATTATAGAAACTGCCATCTTAGAGCCTTTAATTTACCGGAAAGGCTAACATAATAATAATGAGAAACAATAAAGACAATATGTCACCCTAACGTAACTATGCGTCGGTGGCACAGTGGTTAGGACTCTCAAAGACCATGCACACGGTCCGGGGTTCGAGCCCTCACCAACGCACACCTGATATCTATGGTCGGCCTGCATACTTTGGGCTACCGATATCCGCGCTGAAAATTCCATACTTGTACCAAAATTACAGTGTGGAATCAAGCTGTAATCAAAAATAAAAATAAATAAATAAATAAAACTGAAAAAAATACTTTCCAATTACACTGAACAGTATCAGATTTCTAGCTGCATAGTTAACAAAACGGTTTCATCTACATGAACAACAAAACGCTCCTGCCATTTATTTATTAAGAAGAAGAGTACAGATAACAATAATAGTACACTCTCATCCAAATACTTGCATTAACCCTAATGCTTACCTCAGTCTGAAAACTAACCTTAATCCTAACATAATAAGTTCTTAAAAATAAGATCCAAATAAAGTCTGCATATTGATTCGTTCACAGAGATCATAGTGACGCTGGAATAATACCAGGTTCTGTAATCTAACGAATGGTATACGTTAAAGGTTACTAGTGTGTTCACACACTGTGGTTGCTATTCTTTAGATTGACTTGGACAACAAAATATGATATAATTACACGACATTTAAAATGATAGTCCACTAAACACTTGACTGGGTATTCCACTTCATTTTACAAACGTTGGACCAGTAAAATAGGAAACCATTGTCTCGAATCCTGTTGGTAGCCAGACTTTCGAATTATTTTCAACCATCAGTTGCACACGAAATTATATGCATAAAACAACTACAAACAGACGTGTTTCTGTCTGAATTCAGGAAATCGATTTTCGCATTCAACTGTACAGGTGACCAAAACTTCCTTGAGTTAATCATAGTCATAAAATACCCCTGTGACAAAAAAAATGGCGTCTATTTTGCAATAAGATCTGCGATCCTGTTTAAAAGTAATAATATATCAAAGCAAAGGAAGAACTCAACAATGACGTTAAGCAGCTATGAAGATCCTATCAATTCTTACTTACAAAATGGGTACAATAAAACAAAACTACCTAAACCTGAGAATAAGAAAGAATATTTTAACAGGTTGGGGTCAGAACTGTTTCAGAAAAAAAAGTCAAACACCAAATGTTTCCCAAAGATAGTTCAAGGTCAGAGACACCTTCACTCAGTCAGACAAAATCGCAGTCATAAAACAACACATTATCAATATCATCATCACACAACCACAAAGAGAAGCATTAAGATGAGAGGTTAAACAGAAGCGAGGACAAATAATAAGGATCAAGTCACTAGGTGATATGCAAACGTCAGAATAATGATACACATCCTAGGGATGAAGAGAAAAAGTACTAAGAATTAGGTTGAAACATCCAAATAAGTATAAATATTGTAATTAGATTCTTCAGGGGGGGGGGAATTTCGAAACCAGTTCTGCCGGTGGAACAATGGTTACGATGCTCACCGACCATGCACATCGTCCGGGGTTCAATCCTCAACCGACGCTACCGATATCACATGATAACAATTCCATGCTTGTAGCAAACATAATGTGTGGTTTCGAGCTAAAATTATTCTCTAATCCAGATGTTTCATGTGACTTGTTCTACTTAATACTCAAATAATCGACCGCGGTGTTGGTACAAAATGTAGTTTCAATGAATTATGTTTTGAACTTTACAGTTTTTATTCAGCTCTGTTGATACCATCTTGTTTCTTTGTTTCTCTTCTCTAAAACACAAAACAGATTCGATTCTCATGTCGCTGCTACACAGGCAATTGTTACAATGCATGGAAAAGTTGTTGGTGATCAAGCCTGTAAATGTTCATGGGGAAAAGAACCTTCCTTTACAAATAAACAAGGATTAGTAAGTATTTTGTCGTGTCGTTCGAAATTTGCCAGTGTTTATTTTCTTAATGCTGAGTAAATTTTAAGGTAATTGTCGACATGAATCAACCTCGCCTGGCTTGTAAATTTTCAACATCAATGTTAAGGTCACTCACTTCGTCTGTATAGATTAGAAACCTCAAACATGCATCACCAAAAATCATTTCCAACACTCTACTGAGGAAATTTATCAACGGCTGCTCACTCCGCTAGATCCATATCAAAGATCATAAAGCTGGCCAGAAAGAATCAACAAAAAGGAACTCTATGAAGGAACGAATCTAGAACCTATCGGTCAGGAAATATTCCTCAGGAAATGGAGATGGATGCGATACATACTGAAGAGACCATTTGAAGACATCTTGTAATAGGCATCGGATAGTATCGAGTGAGGAACGTCGAGTTCATTGTGGTTTCGAGGTTGACATGAGAAAGATTGCATGAGGAGAAAATTTTCAGTCATGGGGTCAGCTAACGAGATCTACAGCTAACAGATTTAAATAGACAGGTCTTGTTGAATCTCTATGTGTCACTTGGAACCTAAGGGAATAATAACGAATACAAATAGACATGAATCAAACGGCTGACAAATGAGCAACACGGAATAATATCTTTATAGTTAATCACATTTTGATACTATCTCGCAGCGCATAATGATAACTCCATGACTTATCGATTTCGTTATTATCAGATTGTCGGACTATTGGTTGAAACTCACCACAGCATGCCTGGCAAATTTGTCATACTGCGCTTTTCCGCAACCTTGATAAACATAATCAGATACAACTTCCTGTTAGGTTTTGAAACGACTACTTCGAAGGTAACCACTGATATTTCAGGGGACGTGTTTTCAACAATTACTATGACATAAAATGTGACGATGATAATAATAATAATGGCTTTATTCTAAACAGTACTTTTGATACTATGTGGAACTGTCACCATGTTATACAATACTGCATCTAATTTCCTTTTAACATCACACACTAATAAGGAACAGAAAGTGCTATTTACTTAGTGTTTCTCAGTAAATCAGCGCTACCAAAAGAGGTATTATGGAGATTTTATGCCTAGTCGTTCGGGCACAAAGTCTTCTATAGTTGCTTGTAGTCCTACCTGATGAAAGGTAAAGATAGACTTCTTTATAGAGAGGATGATCAGTGTCTGATGAAGCAGTACTCGCTAATTTCTTGAATGAGTTCATGTGTCTGCACACCACTCGCTCTACTGACAGATTTTAATGCCCTTTCGCAGAGTAACAAAGTCTTTCTTAAGGTGGGGGAGCAAAAATGAGGTATAGGTGGAATACAAGAATTAGCAAACTATAGATGTAGAGACTGAGTGATGCTAGATTGTCTTAACTTCCTCACGTAGAACGTTCAGTAAAATATCCTCCTTGAAATTTAATTGATGTAGGAAGACCAGGAAAGGTCAGAGGAAAAAAATAATCCAAGGTACTTAACATTCGAGTTAGTTTCAACTCCACTGTCCTCTATATTACTAGTGTAACGACAGAAGAAAACGGCCAGGCAACAGATCGTTTATTATGGAAATCAACACATATTTATAGATTTTCATGTATATTATTATAGATTATTGTAAGCAGAAAAACACATTCTGCTGATTGGTGGTTGTTTCTCACAGAAAGTTAACCTTGCATCTCTTTGTGGCTGTTTCTTGAATGTCAGATCATCTATATGTTAACTTTATCCGCTTATGCAAAGTCTTCGTTCTCAATTTTCTCACGATCAATATTAGGGACAAAAACACTGACGTAAATTACTATCTACCGATTTGACCAGCAGCCATTTCTCACCACACTAGAACCACGAGAGTGAACAAGTCCATTTAACAAGTTGTGCTTTGGTCTTAAAGTGAAATTACCAACCTGACATTCAGAAAGATTCAGCCTAAGATCATTTGACAATAACGACTAACTGATTTCTGATATGTGCGTCGGTGGCACAGTGATAGAATGCTCGCCAACCACGCCATATGTGGTTCGGGGTTCGATCCCCGGCCACCGACGCACTCCTTCACCTCGCTAAGCCGCTTACAAGACTGGTAAAGAAGGAAGGCTGGGTATGCAGCTAGCAATCCCATCCCGTAAAAGTAAATACCACTGCTACAGAAACTTTAGGCCTCCAGCTTGAAGCCCTATGTTCCACTGGGAATGTGAAGGATTCATTCATTTCAGAACAATCTGAGTGCGAAGTTACTAGCATGGAAACAGTCAGATAATTGCCATACATAACAAAACTGCTTTCGTCAGAATGTAGCAAGTCATTCAATACACCATTCTGAAAAGCAGATTATCAACAAGAGCATATATATATGTGAGCCCGCCGACTACGTCATAGCTAAGCGAATGACTATTTCACCTACATTTAGACAGCGTACAATGCATGTTTCACTTTGTTGTAGGTCGTAAAAGTAAACCAGATGGTGAAACGCTCAACAAAAAAAACAGTTTGTAATAAATATCATATGCTCAATATAGTAATTACACAACACAAGCACTACTTTATTCTAACTTTCCTGTTTCCTTTTTCCAATAGAATATTTGTTAAAATGTACTACACTTTCTTCCTTTTTTTCTCTAAAGCCTTGTTACAAATTTCAAAAACGCTTACTACTCTACTCACCTCCCTCCCTTAAAGCTTGCACACCAGAATAATAATAATAACACAATCTCAGCTTCCTTAGACAGAAAATATTTTTGAAGTCTACCTTTTTTTCTGGTCTGTTTTATTTTTGAATTCCCTTTAGAAAAATGATGAATTTCAATCAGAGTTTTGTTTTTTATATACAAACGACTTGTTTTGTTCCCTTCTCCTCGCCTTCACTCTCACTCTCTCTCTCTTTCTCTCGCTTACTCTCACACTCATTATATATTACATATATATCATATTAATTCAAGTTACCGAACAACGCAACGTCAATGCCTACTGAGCTCTGCTTGTCATCAGTTTTTTTTGTTTTTTGTTTTAATATGTTCAACAAAGAGAGAAATTATTCTATTGAATTTAATCACATTCTTCTCTATTGAATTAAAATTTAGTCACAGAAATCATTCCCTGATTAAAATGAGCATTCATCTGGTCTTGAAACAACACCAAGTATGGAAGAATTAACATATACTTAAAAATATTTAAAAATAAGAGACCAGCAATATTATTTCGTAGAATTTCATAGTTTCACTTCTCTCTAAAGTTTAATGGCGTATAGAATGCGGATAGGCATGTCGTGTGTGAACTTCTGCATCTTCTTTTATATTACGGTATATTCATCCCTTAGAAACTGACTGTGTTCCGTTAGACTTTTCAGTTATGGACTACTATTGAGCTGTGAGCTGACGATTTGCCAGTGGCAACCTGCTTGAAGTAAAACATTAATTTTATGGCCTCTTTCAAAACACTGACAAATCTATTCACACTGGCAATCTTTCGCATTTTTAATTTGAAGCAGCTTTCCATAATGTTGTTGATTGTCATTTTTCCTTACTCAAGCTGTCAACCGTTTCTAATTAATAGCCCCTTGGTTTCTTTGTAGTCCTGTCTAGCTTGCTTTCATCTCCTCCCCGCATGACCTTCTCCTTTTCACCCTGCGATAGGTAACTTTTTGTGCCCAAATCGGATTTCACTGGAGGGTTTTGCATGCGTTGTTATTCGACAGTCTCCCCTCAGAGTGTATCTCAATTCATCCCCACCTTCTTCGGTATATCTATTGAACAAAAAAAAGGTAGCTAGATCTTAAATGCACACGATTAACCTCAACTTGGAAAATATTGTGGTATGTGACAGACTGATGAGATTTGAAACACTTCCAAATGAGATAACGCATAGTTTGCTTGATAAATAAAACTAAGATCAAATATTGAGACCACACATCAGCATTATGACGTGCTTTGTTTAGATCTCTACAAATCGGGTAGGTGCTAAAGTTTTATCACAAATGGATTTCAGTTAGAGAACCAGATAAAACCGGACAACTGTTTCGTTCTAGTTTGTCACTCCTTCAGCATAACGCACCGATGAACCAAACGGTAAGGGAGCAAAGTTGACCAGCCAAGTCCACCAGGCCATTAGGGAGAAATGGTATACGAGATCGTTCGAAGTCCCTTTGTTTGGTCACTATTCGGGTCATCTTTTTACACCAGAGAAGAGTCCCAAGTGGGGAGGATAAAATAGCTGTCCAGTAACCCATATTTTTCAGTGTTTCTCTAACTGAGGTCACCTCACGATCAATTAAATCCCGGCACACCGAAACTTGAAAATCCAATAGACCTGAGCAAGGATAGTGGACAATAACAAGCGTTAAAACCCAAATATTTTAAAGTTTTAACTTTTCAGATAGTAAGCTTATTTGAGTAGACTTAATTAAACTTCCATTAGGGTTCTACTGACCAGAAACAACTGTCTGGATATATCTTTCAATGTCCTTTACAACCTTACATGTGATTCCATTATGGATAAGCTTTTTATTTTGATAAATCACACAGTGGTGTTATACAGTAGTAATAACTGATGACTAGGTTTCGAGCACAGATTATCAGTTAATATTACTGTACAACACAGTGTGAACGTTTATCAAAATAAAAATCCTATCCATGATGGAGTTATACTCTACCACAGTGCCCAAGATTTATACTTATATCAACAATACTTATATGTCACTATTTGTATGGCAGTGTGTAACAATGAGTTCTGTAATATTAAAACGCTGACAAGAAATCCAGTTTTGAAATAATAGAGAGCTGTAGCTCAGAGAACACAAATAAACCAGTTAAGGAGTTCTCTCACTTCCTGTTAATTTCTTTTACAACATGACCATCATGCAGTGTTACTGGTGTTTAACAGATCTAGAACGTTTCAGCCTCTATTACCTTGAGCAGTATTATGGCATAGTCGATGTGTTCTATACCTCAAATAAGTCATCAAATATTTTATTTTTACAAGTTGATCACGGAATGATATCAGTTAGAGAACCATTGAAAATCAGCATTGAAGTACTGGACAGCTAGCTGTTTCATCTTAGTTTAGGAATCATCGACAGTACGCACCCGCCACAGTGGGGTTCGAACCCAGGACCTTTCGGTTACAAGGCAAGCTGGCTCGTATACCGTTCTGCCACTCACTGTGACCCGACCCGATTCAATGGCTAGCACATTAATTCAAACTTCCACCAATTTGTGATTTAGCGCGACCCCAACCAATGTCGTTGGTGGGACATCCATCCAGTCAAGTGTGAGGATGGATGTCCCACCAACGACATTGGTTGGGGTCGCGCTAAATCACAAATTGGTGGAAGTTTGAATTAATGTGCTAGCCATTGAATCGGGTCGGGTCACAGTGAGTGGCAGAACGGTATACGAGCCAGCTTGCCTTGTAACCGAAAGGTCCTGGGTTCGAACCCCACTGTGGCGGGTGCGTACTGTCGATGATTCCTAAACTAAGATGAAACAGCTAGCTGTCCAGTACTTCAATGCTGATTTTCAATGGTTCTCTAACTGATATCATTCCGTGATCAACTTCTAAAAAACAAATCTAATCCTTACAAACCAACTTTAGCAAGAATTTTATGCCAGATTTTCTGAATCATCTAGCCAAATGGGCTGTATTTTTCCCTGTTAATGGAATACAGTTCAGATTCTCATCTTTCTGCAATTAAACTATAACTTACGTGGAGCCGGGACCAGGATGACTATGAATGACCTGGCCTCAAGTGAGTGCTTGCTTGTGTACTTTAGCGTGTAGAGGCCTGTGACGTTCGCTAATCGGGCTCTTTCAGATGCATAATTTATGATGATGGCTAGGTCCATGGATCATCCTTTTAATGCGTCCAAGTGCCTGACTAGTGAGCTAAGGGTCCTACGTTCGAACTATGATTAGTCCTTAGTGGTGAAGTGCCCTAAATTAGGATGGAACAGCTATTCAGAAACTCTCTGGGTTTTTTTTCAAGGAATGTGGTGGTTGATTAAATCACTGAGCTACCAGAATTGCTATCCATTAAAAGCGCCAAAACTCTTCTGCATTTCCTATTGTTTTAATCGTGAAATTATATTAAATGACCACTGCATGAACTTTCGCGCATATTTAACTAGCTTTCAACAAGACGCTGTGCGATTCTTGAGGGAAATGAAGAAAAATTATGCATAAATGGCTCTCTCTTCATACGTAACAACACAATGTCGCATGCTATGCTTCAGATTATTACATTCACGTGTGAATGCTGTATAAAGAGGAAATATTTTGGAAGTAAATACTCTGAAAATTTATGTATTGTGTGTTCTCATTTTGTCTGAAGTGAAGCCTTATAATAATAATTATTATTATTACTATTATTATTATTATTTGCAACTAGTAGTGTTCTCTGAGCTGGTTGGTTTAGTTGCGGAGCTTTCATCGTCATTCTGGACAACACCCCCCCCCTCCCACCTTCAGCGCAAGTGAAACTGATTTAAATTTTCCATGAGTGACAGAATTGCGTCTCCCGGTAACCATCTTTACATTTGTATTGATCGCTTTTTATTGACTCGGATTTTTAAATTTCTCGTCACATCATTTATTTTGTATTAGTTGGTATATTTGGTCTATATTAACATGTTTGTTAATTGAATATTCGTTTGAGTGCCAGACTTCTAGAAATTCTCTGGCACTTTCGGTGTTCCCTCTGTTAAAAATTTTGACATTATCCCAATCAAATTGCTGTCCATAATTACCTACATGCATTGATATAAAAGAATATGTATCGTGTCTTTTCACAGCTAATTAGTGTTCCTGGATTCTGATTTGAGAGGCAGCCCACCTTGGCTGATGTAATGTCTGTTACAGTTCATACAATTTATTTTGTAAAGATGTTGTCCAGAAGGACGACGAAAGCTCCGCAACTACAGCAATCAGCTCAGAGAACACTGCTAATTGCAAATCATCCACCTGAGCTACAAATCTCTATTATTTTAATTATTATTATTATTATTATTAACGTTACATAAGTCTCTCTTTCTTCAACTTTTATCAAGGCAAAACGTTTATCATCGGCTTTATTTGTCTCAACCGTGCAAAACCCTATAAACAATGACCAGAATGCAATTCTCTTAAGACCACAGAATTCATGGCTTACATCAGCAAATCAAAACGGTTTAATATTAGAATTACCAGCGAAAAGATCAGCAAATGAAAAGCTACATCCAATCAATATGAATTGTATAACATCAACAGATAAACTATTAACAGTTACAAATGAACGTCAGCTACCCATCAGGCATACATCACAAGATACAAATAAACCGAATAATGCTAATGTTAGCCTCACAACAACAAATCCATTGTGGCCTTATACATGTTGGTTTACTGGGAATCCAAATCAGGACAATGCTTTACCTGTACTGGTACTTGATAATTTAACAAGAGGAACACTGTCAAATCAGCCTGTAATTCCATTCACACCTTCAGTAGATAATAATCCTCTACTCTTAGGTTTATCCAACATAGATTTAACAAAAGGGTAAGTCTGAATAATGTAATTTATATAACCACTGTTTTGAAGTGATTTTTGATATATGTAGTTATCAAAGTTGAATAATCGGTTTAATTCATTATAATTTTGTCTTAAGTGAAAACATTGTAAGTATCTGGTTATACTTAATATAGACCTCAAATAAGCGCACTTACTAAATACTTCACCGCTTGATGACCTAATCAGTACTCTATCTAGCGTGTAAGTACTGACTGACGAAATCGAAGTAAAAAGACTTGAGGCTGGAAGTGTGCCCTGAGGAGAGTTGTATTGTAAGCAATTAAAGAACAGGCAAAGAAACAAAATTAAGTCATTAAAATCAAAAAAAAGAAACCCAAATCAAAACAAAACCCGCATCCAACTCGTCTGTAGTCCTGACGTTGTGGAAACAGAATTATGTATTCTAGGAGAAATCTTCATGCAAAATGGGTACCCAATAAGATTCATCGACAAAAATATCAGACCAAGAATTCGGAGAAACGAAGCTTTAAAAAGAAACTCTACATGAACTTGGATTTCAAGGGAGATTTAGCAAGCGATATTCTCAAGAGAAGGATCACATAATCTCTGAGAAGAATATTCTTTGCAGCAATGCTAAGAATAGTGTTCTCCAGTTGCCCACTGATCTGCACAAGCCTCAAGGATGAGATCCCGCATCTGGCCACTTCTGTGTGCATATATCAGTTCACCTGCTGCTGTGAAGACAGCGAGGTGGATCGGTCGTTCGACGTGCACCCTGTCCAAGAGGATTCAAGAACGCTATCCAGCATGGTTGCGAAAAGGCAATATTGGTGCAATAAGGAGTGTGATAATTGAACAACTGGTTAACATTGAACATTCCATTTCAACAAACGCCTCCTGCTTCAAATTAATCTACAGAGTCAAGAATAACCTACCAAAGACAATGCGGTTTCGTCTTCTTTGTATCTCTGAAGCCCTGACCATTCACGTAGAAAAACCGGAGCTTTGCATACAAAAGAAGACTACTCAACCACTTCTACTCTCATGGTAACAATGTTTCGATTTGTTTTGAGTTTTTTTATTTTTATTTTGATAACTTAATATTGTTTCTTTGCCTGTTCTTTAATTGCTTAGAATTCTTGTATTCATTCAGAACTCTTATGTAATTTTGTATTATCTACTTTGTTTCTATGTTCATCCTGAGTGAAACTCACTCATCAAGCTATTCATATTATTGCATAACTTCTTTCATCAACTGTTTGTGACAACTCATCACATTTGTTACTACTCTAATTTAATTAAAACCTAATTTTCTTAAGTTGTATTTTAAACAAATGAAATATCAACTTTAATAAATAGGCATGTTATACAACCTATCTGATGCCTTGACTGGGTAGTAAGCTCGGAGATTGCGCTGAATGGTAGCACAACAAAGGGGCGAATCACGTGTGTACAGTCACGTCGGAAATCACAAGGTGGCATGGCGCCAAAAGTGGGTGAATGCGTTAGAACAAAAAAATTCAAATGTTAAAGGTACACTACAACACTTTGAAGTAGTCATAACTAATTAAAAAATTATGAACAGTAGGAGTGAGAAAAACTCACGTTCTGTGGCCTGAACCCAGGAAACCAAATGATGCGGTATGCTGTACAGCTAACCGGAAATTCGTTAAGTTATATGCAGTACAAAAATATGCCGACGATAGTAAAAAGACGGTTATTTCCAATAAAGTCTGCTCACCCATTTGACAATGATAACATTTAAAAAAACAACTCAGAATTACTTCAACAATGCCGTTAGACAGGCTATAGAGATTAAATGAGATCTCAAATACAAAACTGATTACCACACAGTTTCATTTCTTAACCAAAATTAACCTTAAAGAAGTGACTGGGAATCAAGAAGAATATTCATAATAGCGTGAGACCACAATCCTGTTAACAAGGAATTACACCAACTATTTTTTTCCACGCACAGTCCATTGTCAGAATCACCTTCATTCACTCCAACGGAATGGAAATCGTGAAAGAAGACATTTGAATAAAGCGAGAATAACAATGATTTGTGCCGAAATTAATGGTACCATCATTTTTATTTTGTTGGCTTCTCATCAGCTGTTGCAAAGTTAACATGGTATCAGTTTACAGGAGGTTCCGGAATTAGTGAACAGTGCTCAGTAAATTACACTTATATAGTTTTTACACAGACAGTTGAAGTCGAAGCAAAGTAAATGTATGCATACAATGGGAAAGGAGTTACGTAATAAAGACGAGAGATGTGTAAGCTGATGAGTGACTAGTAAATTAGGTAACAATATACTGAGTTCAACTTAAATCATAGAAACAAGAGACAAGTAGAATTACACTATATCAAATGGGTTGAGGTTAAAGCCGAAGATTTCGTAATCAAATGAAAGAGAGAGAGAAAACAAAGACATCCACTTATGAAAATGTGCAAAGCAAGACTGATAACTGTTTCTTTCTGGACACATAAACCGGGTTTCAGGCGTTTAGTTAGAAATTGCTTCGGCAAACCTGAGGAGAACTGGACTTGTTTTTCTATCGATAATTTTACAGAATTTCGAGATTTCCACCGCATTACCCATATCAAAGAGATGCCTGGTAATGGCACTATCATAAGCGTTCGTCCCCTTGAGACAAACAACACACTGTCACTATCATCACACAGTCATGAAGAGAAGTAATAAAATGAGAGATTAAACAGGAAAGAGAGGGAAAATAATAAGTATGTGTATATAGTCTAATAGAGAAACGGAATCCGTATCAGTTTAGTAATTAGATTGTTCAGGAGAGATTTTCCAAACACTTATTCCATTACAGATAAACTGAGATGCTGACGACAAAGTCACACAGCATAAGTGACAGATGGATTGATAAACAACAATACGACTTCAGTGAGTTCTATTATAGGGTCATGGTAACAGTATAGTTGAAAATCTCCCAACTGTGAAACATGAATCAATATCACCAGCATGTTTCAGAAGTTTGTTCTGGATTACAGCAAACGTTGATTTCAAATCATTATTCACACAAATCGTGACTGTTCCATTGAAAGGTTGATGAAGAATCACTGAATATCAAAAAGAATTTCATCGTGAATGATTGTCAGTCGGGCGGGGGGGGAGGATTGCACTCCACCTATCTTCTTTCGTCATTATTACCTATGGTTTTCATATTAAGGAGTTGAAGAATTTATTGGGCTTTCAGATTATTAGAGAGGAAAGAACGAGAAGTTCTGCAAAAGCATCTTTTCAGCGATTTTTTCCTCAAAAACTGCACAGTCCCATTTATGAACATAAGTTTACATTAGGTACAATCATTATTGTTATTCCATTATGGATACACTTTTATTTTGATAAAGTCATACAGTGTTATACAGTAATATTATTTACTAATGCCACCACATTTCGAGCTCAGTTTACTGCCACTCATAATCATATCAAGTCACTCACTCACTCACACAACTTTCTTGCTTCATTTATATACATGAATTAAAATTGATGTGATTAGACATTTAAATAAAATCAATATAAGATAAAGTACATTCGGAAATAATAATATTAGTGTTATCAATAAAATACAATCAAATGGGAAATAATACGAGTGTTTTTTAATAGTCATAATAAATAACTTGTTAGGATGTTATAGTGTGAAGTGAATACATTTAGCATTATTTGTCATCCCCTGATTTGAGTGCTAATAATATCTTACGTATAAGGAGAGGACATCTGAGACCCTACGTGGGATTTTCAACAAAGCAAGAATTAGGGTGTCATTCAAACTGATATGTATCCACATATATATATTTATGTGTGTGTGTGCATGTTGGTCTCTCTTTCTGTTTGCTCGGTTAGTCTGTGACCACTTCACTTGTATGAACTTGTCTCCTTTAATAATGTGTATTCTCCTTATATTATATTATATATAATATGAGTGTTTGTTGACAGTCCGTTGCTTGGTGACATATATCCATATATGTTTGTTGGCATGTCTGCTATATTCGCTATATATAATTGGATCGACACTCCATTATAATTAGCCATTCATGTTAAGACTGTCTAATGATTTTTCCCACGCTTTGTCTGAATTATTTATATATATTCGCATTCACATTTTGTGTGAACTACTTTACAACTACTTTACTTACTTACCACTTTGGTGTGAGACCATTTTATTTTCGTCTCCTTGTGTTTGGACAATAGAAGTATCATCTCAAACCTAGTGGTCTTCTGATTTCCGCCTTCTCGCGTCAGGACTATTAGTTTCTCGACCAGTCCATAACAATAATTCAGCGACGAGTACATAACACAAACCTACAAGCTCACTCAGATAGGACAATCTCTGTAGGTTAAACGACTCTCTTGAACCAATTACACAAAATAATGTCATTTACAAAATACCTTGCGTCGGTGGCACAGTGGTTAGCATGCTTGCCGACCATGCACATGGTCAGGGCTTCGATTCCCAGCCGCCAATGCACTCCTTTACCTCAATTAGCCAGTAATAAGACTGGTAAAGAGGAAAGGTTGGGCATGAGGCTAGCAACTCCATCCTTTAAAAATAAATACTGCTACAGAAACTACAAGCCCCCAGCTTGAAGCCTTATGTTCCACTGGGAACGTGGAAAAAAAATTTTTTTAAATACCTTGCAATGACTGTGAGTTAAGTCAAATACATAAAGCAAATTAGTAGATCAGAAATAGTAAGATTATTAGAACATAAGAATTTAGCTAAGGTTAGAATGATTGACCCCATGACGATAAGTGATTTAGAGAAAAACTCAGCAATCTCACTGCTTGCATTAACACACAGACACACAATAGGATGGGACAGAGTCAAAATTCTAATGAGTAATATAGGCAGGCTAAAAGAGATTGATTGATTGCTGAATGGTGTCTGGTTCATCGAGTGTGCACTGAACACAACATATGCAGCAGAAATGACTCAACGCAAATACCAGAGATATTATTATTATTATTGTATCCTTTAGTTCCTAGAGGAACATA